TTCCGGAACACCTGAGATTTTAAGTGACATTGAGAGGTTCCATGGGCAGCTGTACACGTCATCGTTGGAGCCATCCAAGAGCGAGTCTTATCCGAGACTATTCCGAAGATATCACGGACGTTAGTCTGAGCGAGATTAGAATAGCTCTCCAGCACCTTGAAAACGGCAGGGCCCCAGGTGAGGATGTAATTACAGCGGAGCTTTTGAAAGCGGGTGGAAAACCGGTACTTGATGTCCTTCAGAAGCTCTTTAATTCCGTCCTCCATGGTGGCACTACTCCAATGGAGTGGAGCAGAAGTGCGGTGGTCTTGTTCTTCAAGAAAGGCGACAACGCTCTCTTAAAGAACTACAGACCGATTTCCCTTCTGAGCCGCGTCTACGTGCTGTTTTCGAGAGTCATTACGAATCGTCTCGCAGTTTTAGTTTTTTTTTTATTATTATTATAGTTTTTAATGTTGTATATAATTAAATATAATTTATATTTAATTAAAAAAAGACAGGATATAAAATATCTGAGAGTTTTACAATGAAACGGTTACGTCTGTCTCGGCGCATCTACTACCATAATTCTTTAAAACCTCAATAGAGATTAAGAGAATTGCTGCGGATCAAAGAATGGATAAATGGATCCGTCCCCTAGAGAAATCAACTAAAACCCCAGCAATGGTCTCTGATTAAAAATTCTTTACGTAAATATTTCTTAAAGAGTGAAAAAAATTTGAATCGTTTCGTTTATCAAAGGTACACCTTGAAATTGACTTTCCGTTTATTACGTTATCCTATATTATTAAACGATTCTTATACGACGTTATCCTACATTATTATACGAAAGAAAAGTGTTTTATTTGCATTCTAATAAGACATAAATAATCATTATATATAAACATTATGTATAACTTTCTTATATATTATGTATAGCTTTACGAACAGGTATAGTAATGCTATGAGGTCTGAGTAGAGTAGAGGTAGTGGTAGAGGCAGCCTATAGAAGTCCACAGCTGAACATAGGCTTTCCACAAACATTAGGGAGATTGCGCCATAGTTACCATGCGCGTTAGGCTTGTTGGCAACATCAGTTTGTATAAATTTGAATTGTTATCAAGAAGTTACTGCCGCCAATATCTTATTTTTATTAAAGTTTTTCTATTTTTAACACAGTTCTATTAGTTTGGTATAGTATCTATGTAAATCACTATTTTCTTATTTCAAACTTATTGAAAAATAATTTCTACTTTTTAGTTCGGTTATCTACCAAAGCGTGTTTTTTTTTTAGTTTTCTAAATTATTATTCATAACTTTACAAGTTATTTTAGATAGGTTATCCTTGAGATAATAATTTTTTTTCTAACGCCGGGCAAAGCTCGTTCTGGACACGGGACATTAATAAATATAGGTGAGAGATATGCAGAAGCCTACGGCCTCAGATACAACTCCACATTGATGAACGATTTGTTTTCAAGGCAGGGAACAAAACCCCAAGTTGATTAGACTGATCAGGCTTGGGGGAGTACCGTTAAGTAGACACCAAATTTAACTACCTGGAGTACTGGGTCACGGACGATCTCTCTGATGATTTAGAAATCAAACGAAAAAGTAGAGCGTTAGCATTGAGGTGCACATGCTGAGTCGCAGGTTTGCAAGATTTTCAAAAGCCGTCAAGATAACTCTTTTTAAGGCGTACTGTCAAACGTTTTACATCAGCAGCCTGTGGGCCAAGTATACTCGCGGACCTGTAAATGCTCTAAGTGTTCAGTACAATAATGGCTTTAGGATGCTGATGGGACTATCTCGCTATTGCAGCGCCGCATGCATGTTTACTGAGGCTTGCACGGACGGGTTCGATGTAACAGTGCGGAAGAGAGTGTCCTCCCTGATGCACCGCGTGCCAGATAATACCAACGGAATCTTATGTACCGTATCATGGGAGTGTGGCAGCGCTGTCGTCGCTCCACAAGCAAAACACAACGAGGCATAAATCGCACTATCAAAGTTCCGAAGTAAAGCAGTATATACAATATGTAACAAAACCCTGTGGTTCCCGTTAAGTACGTTATCAGGATCACTATCAAACCTACAGAAATAACTTTTTTTTTAAAAACTCAAGGATTTTTTTTATTTTATTTAAAAAATAATTGTACGCAAATTGTATGTGGTACTATTACCTCTGCATTATAGAGAGTAAGAGGATTGTCAAAGACCCCGCTTTACTTAGCTTTAGCATCGGCTAGTGCCAGTAAGAGGTAATAAAACCACATAAAATTATAAAAAAATTCTTTAATAAAACTAAAAAATGATATGGTCGTGTTCTTTAAAAAAAAAGTTATTTTTATAGGTTTGAATACTGATCCTGATAACGTACTTAACGGGAACCAGAGGGTTTTTGTTACATGTTGTATAGAATAGCTCCAAACTAACACTAGAAGCATTGGCCGCTACTCGGGCTGAATACCTTATAACAAAACATGTGTGCATATTGTCGCATGGTAGAACCATGGTGCTTATGAACCAAGACCGGTGTGGGACCGCGCTCTCACAGTATACCATTGTAAAATAGCAGCTTAACGCTGTGTTTTGTATGGTGAGTGTAGAGCACCGGAGACCCTTATTACTGGAACGAGATGGAATACCATCTTAGTCTTTAGGGATGACGAAGCATCTGCGTTTTGATTCTTAGTCGAGAATAGTGGTAGCTAGGTCCACAGCACATCTACTTACCATCAAATGGACTGTGTGGGTCATTTGTCGCCCTTATTGAGTAATAACAACATAGCTTTTCCATACAAAACGCTAAGTATCATGATATGGCATGCCTCACTACCGCTAAAAAGGGTCTCCGCTTCTCTACACTAAACATTCGAAACACATTAATAACATAGCATTAAGCTACTATTTTACTGTTACACTTTAACAATTGTCAGCTCGAATACCTTAATTAAACTTTTTAACAAGTCTGAACGGTTATAAATAAATCTGAACAAGCGTATTAATTCCGCTGGCAAAGACAAAGCGGAAACGCGCACCGCCATATTGCTGAAAACGAGTCGTTATCTCTCGGCTCATTTCCGGCGGCCATTTTGACTTTTACGCCGCCATTGTCGTGTCTTAAATGCGTCAAATTTTTCAGTTCGTTTAATAGCGAGTGATTAGGATGATATTATATAAAATATCCCGTCCTTTTATATTAAATATTTAATATGAAAAATTTTCTCACTTTTCTTTTGTAGAAATAAGTATGTCAAACGAAGGCGGAGTAGGTACTATTGCTGTTAAGTGCATAGTACGAGTATAGTTCTTAGACGCTTCCCTCAGTAGAGAGTATCTACAGTATCTACTTAGATTAGTAAATCTATCCTAAGTGGATATATTATTTATCTGTCCTAAGGAGATCCACAGTAACTAGGTCTTAGGATAGATTTAAGATCCTAAAATCTAGATACTGTGTGAATATAGAATCTTAGGATAGATTTACTAATCTATCCTAAGTGGATACTGTGGACTATGAACTTCTACATTTATCCTAGATTAGGATCAAAATGCGAAATGTGAAGAGCCATGCTGCAGCTATGTTAATAGTATAGTTGTAGCACGACTGGGTCGGCTCGACCGGGCAAAGAGCACGCTCTCCAAGAAAACCAGGGTAAAATAGCAGTTTGATGCTGCTGTGTTTCGTATGGCGAGTGTAGATAACCTGAGACCCATTTTACTGGATACGAGGCATTCCATCTTAGTCCTCATAGTCCACAGTATTCACTTACCATCAGGTGGACGCACACAGCCCAGTCGATTGTTATGCATATTCTATTAAAAAAGAACTAATAACTAGCTTTACTGACCGTACAGCACATTATAATTTTCTCATTACAGCATATCAACAATCATACGGAGATAAACCTCCCTATGAGGCAATCTTTTGTGGAGGCTTATGTTCAGAAGTGAAACTGTAATGGATTGTAGGAAAGGGGAATAACTGCCGTAATTTCCACGTTTAGCGGGCGGGTTGTCAAACACAGATTTTTTAATAATTTTGAGTTGTTATTGTAGTTCAGGAGGAATCGGTGAATGAGTAAAAAAAAATTGCCTCGTTTGGAAATAACAATTCCTTACAATTGAAAAAAAGATCGGTATAAACAGTATGGCACCGAGTTGCCCCATGCCAACATGCATTTAAATCATCAGTAGGATCGAGGAGAATCGCATAAAAAAATTGAGGTGGAATAGTTTTCGGTACTCGTGTGCCGATTCCTCCTGGACTATTGATGATATAGAATGATGCTGCAGCCTATTTTCTGTTTTATTTCCCTCTGTCGCTTCTTACGACACTTGTGGGATATTGGAATCTGTTGAACTGTCACTCAACGGCTAAGATAACCTATAAATCCGTGACTATACGGCTTTAATGTATGGCCTCGTACCAGTAGGCGAAGTGTAGGGCGACCCTCCACTAGAAGGAGTGACGACTTGGTAAGACATGCAGGAAGTCAATGTATGCAGGTGGCTCAGGATCGTGCTTTGTGGCATTCCTTGGGGGAGGCCTATGTTCAGCCGTGGATTTGTGAAGGGCTGTAATGATGATGATAATGACATGGCTTTCCTAGAAAGCTCTAACTGGCATAGAATGCGTGAAAGATTTGCTATTTCAAGTGGTAAGCCTTCCCTGTGGTAATGATGATTCCCGGCACTGGTCTATAAAATTTTAATTTAGATTTTTTTGGTTTGGTAGTACCGTGTTTGTCTGGGACGTATAGGTCTCTTCTTAGTCTGGGACTTATAGGTCCCATGTTTATGTGGTGCTTATTACAAATAAAAATTATGCCAACTGTGTGACTTGCCTAGCATGTAAAATACGAATAATGGCACATGAGAGCACTTGGCGCATAAATGTAGATGTCTATGAGCCACAGCATCCACTTACCATCAAGTGGGTTCTGTGCTTGTTTGTCATCCTTATTCTATAAAAAATTCTCCTTGTTGCCTAGGTCTGAGCATCCGACGAGTGCAAGATGGGCGTGGCCTCTGATGGCTTCAGCAGCTGGCGGGCCCGCGTGTCCGCCTTAAGGGAGTCCAGGAAGCTGGTGCTGGTGATCGTCGCCATCGCCTTGCTGCTGGACAATATGCTCCTGACCACTGTTGGTAAGTATTTTTTTTATTTTTATTGTTATTTAATTTAAAAGGATAATTTCAGTTGCAGATGTATGAAATTGAACATATTAAATGGAAATTAATTAAGCCTTTAATAAAAAAAAAACATGTTTGAGTTCGCATGCGGTAGTAGTAAAACCTTCAGATAAAGAATAATTTCTTTCGATTAAAATTGCTTTGTGATAGCGCTATCTTCGTTATTCTATAGGTAAAGTCATTTTATCGAACAAAACTTTATTGAATCTCAAGGTGGTACGTAAAATAGACGCTAGATGGCATAAACACGACTTTAATATAAATAGGTAAGTACTGTATTTTATTATAGGATGACCTACCAACCTACGAGATGACAAACGAGCAAACAGTCCACCTGATGGTAAGTGGTTGCTGTGGCCCATAAACATCTACATCTATCTTCGATTACGAATCAAAATGCAGATGCGTTATCACCTGTGTGATCTAAGATGGAATGCCTCGTTTCCAGTAAAAAGGGTATTCAGTTCTCTACACTCACCATACGAAACACAGCAGTTTGAAGCTGCTATTTTACGCTGGTATTCTGTGAGAGCGTGGTCCTTCTCCGGTCGAGTCGTCCCATTCGTGCTACAACTATACCAGTAATATAGCTGCATCATGGCTTTACCACTTAAAAGAGCCTGTATTATTCTATTTCTTACTTTTGCAGACTAAAAACCTATAGATGTATCTATATGTTTGTCTCTTTTAAGTGTTGCGTTTTCGTTTAATTGACTTTTAAATCACGACTCAAAAACTAAAAAAATCTATCTACATTGTTTCTGAAAAGTCGGTTAGCATAGACAAAATAAACATTACTAGGTCATACATTAGTAGGTCAGCTATAAATATACAACTTTTACGTATTAGAGCCATGCTATATCATGATTGTGGTACGAATGGGTCGGCTCGATTGGGGTAGAAACAGGCTCTCACGGAATATCAGCGTAAAATAGCAGCACAATGCTGCTGTTTCGTATGGTGAATGTAGAGAACTGGAGACCCTTTTTACTGGATATGAGGCATTCCGTCTAAGTCCTTAGGGGTGACAACGCATCTGCATATTGATTCTCAATCTTACTTACCGTCAGGTGGTAGACTGTGTGCTCGTTTGTCATCCTTATTCTATAAAAAAATATAAGTGCGTCGAATATAGAACCTTCTCGTACACACACTTATAGACCATTGCATTTTTTTTTAAGAATTCATCCTATTAATTCATAATCGATTTTGAACAGAAAAAACGATTTTGACATCACTATTTGAATTGTATATTTCTGTACAGAAGCTTCATTCGATATTAAAAAGATATACGAACAGAAATTTAGTAATTTTTTCTGGGATACCATCAATTTAGTTTAATCTATTCGAATTCATTACGAGAAAGCGGGAGATCGAAAGCTCACCACCTTCTAATGAATTAGAGATGAGGCACTTATCTGATTGGGCCGCCATCTTGACCGGTTGACGGGTAACAAACCGCACATTTTATTCTAGCTGGGGAAAATGGTGTCAATTAATAATTTATATATTGCACAGGTGATAAAATAATTATTGTAGATAAAACACATTGAAATAAAATAGCTTTGTCGAACAGTGATCACATCCAGAGGAATTCTACATGTAAGAATTTTCACTACCCGCTATCGTCCCATGGGTGTCATAAAGAGGCGACAGAGGAAAACAAATTAGGAGATAAGCAGCATCGTCTTCCTAATAATGACAAAAATTAAAAAAAAAACTACGGTTGCCAACTCACTTGCCAAGCGTGACAACTATGGCAAATATTCCTTCTACGAGGCAATCTATGGCCTATGTTCAGCAGTGGACTGTAATAGGCTGTAACGTAACGAAATATAATATTAACGGCAGATTTTTCAAATAAAAGTTATACATATGATAAAATACAACACAAACAAATTAAAAATTACAGCTATATGACTATAATAGTTAGTTAGTTAGTTACTTTTATATTCAGTCGGGTTATTATTTAGTCAATGTCTAAATATTACCTGACTACTGAGAAATAAACCTTTAATTAAAATATTAAAAGTTTAAGAAATAAAAAATTCATTAGTATTAAAGAAGCCGAATAATTATAAAATACTCTACGTACTTAAAATTCTACTTTGCCGTGGCATTTACCTTTGAGCGTAAGCCTTTGCGATCAAATACTTGAAAACGTTTTGAGGTTTAACTCTGTTTGAAGTGGCCGTCGGATTGGGGTTGCCATATTCATTGGCTTCTTAGCCGAGAATATTTAAATATTTAAATGAGCTTACAAGACTTGGGTAGATTTGGGGCTAAAGTAAGTAAGTAAAGTGTTTTTATTATTTTTTATAAAAAAACACCAGTTTTGTCCTTTGTATCGTGGAGACGGTTTACTTATATAAATTGCACAAGTACACACATCTAGGTCCCGAAGAAATAATTGTAGGCCAAATACTTGTTCCGTGCGGGAATCTCACCCACGGTCCTGCAGTGCCACAAACAAGCCGTCAATCCGTGTTGCGGTGTACTAGGTTCGAATCCTAGTCATATTATATCTGTGCAGAATCAAAGTACTACGTGTTTGGTTTTGAAGATGGATTTTTCGTTCTCCATACTATACCTTCGACCTTATAACGTAAGCGTCACAGAGGTCACAAGTATCTTAGGACTAATTCCTCTGTGTTCAATCCGACTTTCAACCTACTTCAAAAAGGAGGAGGTTCTCAATTCTTCGGAATCTTTTTTTATGTTCACTGATTATTCAAAGATGCCTGAACCGATTTGGAAAATTCTTTTCTGTTTCAAAAGGTATACTTCCCAGGTGGTCACGTATAAATTTGATCAAGGCCTGACCAGCAGTTTTTGAGTTATCATTAATGTTTTGTATTGAATTGAGTTGTACAATTTTTTTTTAATTTTACCACTTGTAAGAAAGAAGGGCGTCCTTAATTCGACTGTATTTTGTTATGCGATGTCTTCGCCAATTATGGACTGATTTTGATGCTTCTTTTTTTTTAATTAAATATGCAACACCTTAAGGGTGGTCCCACTTAAATAAATAAATATATCAATTTATTCACGGGGAAGGTTTTATGCTATCCACTTTGTTGTAATTCACTACTAGATGGCACTGCACGACCTCAACTTCCATATCGCGTAACCGATCGCCATGGAAATCGGTATATTTCGGCCAAGTTTTGCTAGTATTCATTAAAAATAACCCTTTTTTTTTTCTTTGTTTCGTGTTCCGTTCCTATACTATTCATTTACGATTACTATAAAACTTTTGCGTATTATTGAGTACGCGTTCACGAAGGTTTATGACAAAAAATGTCATTGCATGGCCGACCCAGCTAGTTTTCAATAAAATCTTTTTAATAATCTTCATAAGAATTTCAACTTTAATATTTCTAAATTCTTCAATTTTATAGTTTCCAGTGGACGGGAGGCGACAATTTAACACCTCTTTTAGTTTGAACTCGGACAGGAAGCAGGGCAATTTCCCCTTGGGTGAGATCAAAGTGAAATTCACTTAGCTGCTTCATCATAAACGCCGTCCGTTGTAATGTTGTGCTGCGGAGTTATCGATATTATATTATATCATGATACATAGAGCACACTGAAAGTTCTTCGTTCTTGGCCGTTCATAAATTATAGAATTTCGAATGTTATATTTAAAACATAAAGAAAGTTATTTTTGATTAAAATAATTTTTGGTAGAAAGTCACATGTCAAATGTTTTTTTTTTACCACATGTTAAAATTAATCATCCGTAGCGTTATTGTAATTAACGCGAAAAGATTTCAGGGCGATAATTTATTTTTTTATTTAAAAAGTTCACTTTATTCGCAAGTGGGAGGGAAGTACATTATGATCCAAATTAAAAAAAAAACATGTGTGCAGTTAACATGCGGTAGAAATTTTCAGAAGAGAGAGACCGAGATAATAGGAAACACTGTATAGGTGGTATTATATTCTATCTCATTCTCTCGCAGGCTAAATGCTATAGATATGTATGTTTATATCTTTTTAGTGTCGCTTTCTCATTTCATTGAGTTCCAAATCACTATGATTCTAAGGATGTTTTCACTTCGAAAAATTACATAAACTTTCAAAACATGTAACATTGCGGAAAGAAAGCAACAGTCTTCTGTAGCTTCTGTTCGAAGGCGACAGCAAAAGCGTGGGCCATAAAATGATTGCAGTGTTTTTCTCCCCGACGAGTCCTATCTGCACGCTCCCACGATCTCTTGATGAGCAAATGACAGTTAATGCTGAGTGGTACTGTGGCTATATGGAGTGGCCGCCATTTGTTTGCCCAGTGTCTTTGAATAGGTTAGAAAAAAACGAGCAAGAAATCCATGACAAAGCATCGACGCACATCGTTAGCAAGACAAACTAACTTTTGGTTTTTGAATAGGTGAAGCTCGTGACACAACCCACACACAGTTTCGACCTCGCGATATGCAATTTCTTTATTATTCTATAAATCAAAGATTTGGTATGAGAGTTTCGACATTTTCGGGATCAGAAGAGGCTGTGATAGCTTTCAACCAGCACATGAAGAATATACTGTTAGACCAATGGCTCAAGTGTTTCAAGCATCTGCTTTTTCTTCATCAGCCTGTAAACAAGGATTTACCTTAATGGTCACGCTCGGCAGGTCGACTGACGATCGCATAGTTTGCATTTTGATAGTATGCCCTTTCTATCTAGAAGTCCGTCTAGACTTGTACCACCTTCTATCTTCCAGTGTGAAATATAAAGAGAACCAGCATAATTACAGGTTGTGAGGCATTTCATTTTAGTTCTCGCAGGAGATAACGCATCTGTAGCTTTCTCTGTTTGTAAATGGCTATAGGTGTTCATTGACTGCAGCAGCCGCTTACCATCAGGTGGGGTATAAGTTAGTTTGTCACTCCATTTTTCAACATACACGAAAGCGATAAAAACATATTGGTTCTTATCGTCATATTTTTTTTATT